GCGGAATGAGCCCCGCTGTGAGGGCACAGCAGCATGGAGGTCTCAGAGCTGTGCTCTGCCAATCAGGATCCCAGCCAGGGGCCTTCCTCTCATCCCGCACCAGGAGACCCAAACCAGGCACACAGCTGCCACTATGTTTGTTTGTTTATTTGTTTTTTTAAAAGATGGAGTTTCACCATAGTGTTGGTCAGGCTGGTCTTGAACTCCTGACCTCAGGTGATCCGCCCACCTTGGCCTCCAAAGTGCTTGGATATCAGGCGTGAGCCACCATGCCCGGCCTGTCTGAGTAGCTGGGATTACAGGCACGCGCCACCATGCCCAGCTAATTTTTTGTATTTTTAGTAGAGACGGGGTTTCACCATGTTGACCAGGATGGTCTTAATCTCTTGACCTTGTGATCCACCCGCCTCGGCCTCCCAAAGTGCTGGGATTACAGGCTTGAGCCACCGCGCCTGGCCTGTCTGTTTGCTTTTTAAGAGATAGTGGGCTAGGCAGAGTGGCTCATGCCTGTTATCCCAGCACTATGGGAGGCCATGGCAGGCGGATGGCTTGAGCCCAGGAGTTCAAGACCAGGCTGGGCAATATGGCGAAACGCCATCGCTACCAAAAACAGAAAAAATTAGCCACCCATGGTAGTGTGCACCTGAAGTCTCAGCTGTTTGGGAGGCTGAGGTGGCAGGATTGCTTGAGCCCAGAGGCAGAGGTTGCAGTGAGCCAAAATCACACCACTACACTACAGTCTGTGCAACAGGCTGAGACCCTGTCTCAAAAAAAAACAAAAAAACAGATGGGGTTTTGCTCTGTCACACGGGCTGGAGTTTGGTGGCATAATCATGGCTCACTGCAACCTTGAACTCCTAGGCTCAAGTCCTGAGGAGTTGGGACTGTAGGCACACACCACCACACCTGGATAATTTATTTAATTTTTTTGTAGAGATGGGGTCTTGCTATGTTGCCTAGGCTGGTCTGGAAGTTGTGGGTTCAAGCAATCCTCCCACCTTAGCCTCCCAAAACTCTGGCATTATAGACGTCAGCCACTGCCCCAGCCAGAGCTGCCAGTCTTCATACTGTGTGCATAGTGTGACATTGGGTATGTCATTCCTCATCTCTGCACTTCAGTTTTCTGACCCCAGGATCCCTGATTCTGCCTCCTGGTCTCCTCCATGCTCAGCCTGTGTCCCAGCCCTTCTTACCCAGGCCGATGCTGCCATAGCCCAAGTGGGGAGGCACAATGAGGCGTCGTCGCTCGTTGACACACATGCCCATGAGGCCTCGGTCCATGCCAGTGATGAGGCGCCCCACGCCCACCACGATGGCCACCAAAGTGTTGCGGTCATAGCTGTGGAAGAGGGACAGATGGGATACAGTGACCTCAGGCACACACACACTGTCCACGGTGGCATAGGTGTACCTGCACACACGTACACAATGGCCCTCACTACACCCAGTTGTGGGTATGCACACATGCTCCTCACCTCCTTTTTTTTTTGAGACATAGTCTTGCTCTGTCATCCAGGCTGGAGGGCAGTGGCGTGATCTCAGCTCACTGGAACCTCCGCCTCCTGGGTTCAAGCAATTCTCCTGCCTCAGCCTCCCGAGTAGCTGGGATTACAGGTGTACACCACCCCCCCCAGCTAATTGTTGTATTTTTAGTAGAGAGGGGGTTTCACAACATTGGTCAGGCTGGTCTTGAACTCCTGACCTCATGATCCATCCACCTCGGCCTCCCAAAGTGCTCGGATTACAAGCATGAGCCAACGCACCTGGCCTCTCCTCACCTCCTTTTCAAGTCCCCCTCCTAGGTTGGCCATGTGGCCCACCGTAAGAGAACGGGCTGTTACAAAAGGCAAGGCCCTGAGGAGGCCAGGGGTGGCTGCTGCCCTGGGATGGGGTTAGGGTGGGATGCATGGGCCTGAATGCTGCTACTATTTGCTGACAGAAAGTGGGGAGTGGCAGGGACAGCACAGAGGGGCAGAGGAACATGTATTGAGCACTTAGCATACGCAATTAAATGCTTGGCATTTTACATTCTTTATTTCTCTCCCCTGTCAGCTGGGGATTCTTGTTCTCATTTTTCTTATGAGAACAATGGAGACTTGAGAGACTACGTGCCTTGCCCAAGGTCACACAGCCAATATGTGGTCAGCTGAGATGGAAAGCCCAGGAAAAGAAGAGAGAGCAGAGATGGGGTGGGGATTGCTTTCACATTTTGAAAAGGCCTATTCTAAAAGTGCCATGGCTTTTGCTTGTTTTTAGTTATACACTTCTAATTAATGTATTTATTTTTACTTTTACGTAAGTATTTTTGGAGATGGAGTCTCTCTGTTACCCAGGCTGGAATGCAGTGGCGCAATCTCGGCTCACTGTAGCCTCTACCTCCCTGGTTTAAGTGGTTCTCCTGCCTCAGCCTCCAGAGTAGCTGGGATTACAGGCGCACCACCACCACACCTGGCTAATTTTTTTATTTTTCGTAAGGTGGGGTGGTCTTTGCCATGTTGCTCAGGCTGGTCAAACTCTTGGCCTCAAGTGATCTGCCTGCCTGGGCCTCCCAAAGTGCTGGGATTATAGGAGTGAGCCACTGCGCACAGCCAATTATATACACTTTTTCTTTTTTTTTTTTTTTGAGACAGAGTCTCACTCTGTTGTCCAGGCTGGAGTGCAGTGGCACAATCTCGGCTCACTGCAACCTGCATCCCCTGGGTTCAAGTGATTCTCCTGCCTCTGTTTCCTGAGTAGCTGGGATTGCAGGCACGTGCCACCCCGCCCGGCTAATTTTTTGTAATATTAGTAGAGATGGGGTTTCACCATCTTGGACAGGTTGGTCTTGAACTCCTAACCTCATGATCCACCGCACCTGGCTATATACACTTTCAATTTTATTTTAAGTTTTCAGAAGTAAAGTGAGGATGGGAGTTTTTTTTTTTTTTTTTTTTTTTTTTTTGATTGAAGGGGCCATGGGTTAAAAAAGTTTTCCAAGCTCAATACTCATGAGCTGGGCCCCCAGAGTCCCTACCAGGGAAGACAACCCCTAAATCCCAACCCCTGTCTCACAACCAGCACTCAAAGGCTCAGGGCTGCGCTCCTGGCTACTACCTATACGTGGATTTGCCCACCAAGCGGGCAGGTTTTAAGTCTGGACTGTTTCTTTCCCAGTGCCATTACAAAGCCTTAAGCTCTGCATGAAGTTTCTATGCGTTAAACAGCATCACATCATTTGGTTCTCCTCAAGGTCAATATTAATGTGTGCTGAACTGGCCAGAGGACTGCCAGGTCCTGTGAGAAGCCCATATTCATTCATCTCTTTCAAGTCCTAACATCACCCTTAGCAAGTAGGTCCTGTTTTTGTCTTCCTTTTTCAGATAAGGAAAGTGATGCTTAAAGAGACAACATTCTCTGTCCATGGTTGTAGCCTGGATTTGAACCAGGGTCTTGGGACTCTTAGAGTTTGTAGGCTTACCCCAAAATATTGCCTGCCTCCAAAGTCAGGGCCTCTAATTTCCTGTGGGCTGAGTTGTGTGTTTCAGGGGAGGGTCTAAGGCTGACTTCTTTCAGTGTGCTGTGGGGTCCGTATGTAACTGGGACCCTAGGTTTACCTCCGAGGCTGGCACACTGCCCTTTCCTGTCCCCACTAACAAAAGTGGACTTGCTGGAGCAGACCAAAGTCCTGGATCAGACCAGGAGGCCACCTCACAAACCCCAAGGCTGGCAAAATGGGCAGCCTGCGCCTCTGGCCTGATTTACCTAAAATGGAGAGAGGTGAGGGTTCCAGGAGAACCCTCAAATCCAGGCTACAACCATGTACAGAGAGGAAAGTATGAAACTCCTCCAAGGAGCCCAGGGTGGCATGTCCAACTGTGCGACACGTAGACAGACAGGGTCCCCGCAGGGAGCCATGCCCTACCCCCAGGTCCAGCCGGCTGCCTTCTTAGAATGCCCACCCGCCTTTGTCCCTGCCCACCGACCGCTGAGAACTCCCACCCTCTCCCAAAAAAGTTCGATTCCCTCTTCTCTAACCACAAAGGCAATGAAAATGGAGTGGAGCCAAAAAGGGAGTCAGGGTGGGTGGAAAAGTAGGGGGTCCAGGCTGATTGACCACCCCAGGATTCTTAGGCAGCAAGGACCACCCCCTTTCCCCCAACACTGTAGACCAGAACATCCCTCTCCATCATGCCATTAAATATAGCCCTGTTGACTACATAGGGCGGTTCACCTTGATTATCGAGTCCTTTCCGGGATGTGGAGGGCTCGTGTGAAAGAAAAGGGGTCCTCTGAGGAGTGAGGGTTTGGAAATGGGGGCAGGAGGGTATCTTTGGGAAGACGGATGTCTGGAGGCCCCAAGGGTGCTGTCTGGGGTTAGAGTACTAGATGCAGAGCTTCAAAGAGGCAAGTAGGAAACAGGACCCCGCGTTCGGGGGATGGAGTGGTGAATCCCGGGGCGCCCAACCCGGGTTACCTTGAGTCAAATTTCTTGCCATCTTCGAAAGTGCCGTTGTAGTGGTAGCGCACAAAATCCCCCATCTGCACTTCTCGGGGACAGGCCCTGGGGATGTGGTACCTCTCAATGACCACATCTTCCAGGGGGCCCCCGGCCGGGCTGGCGCGGCCCAACCCCCTCCCCACGGCCTGCACCACCAGCAGCAGTAACTGCAGCAGGGGGAGCCGGAGGAGGCTGTAGCTGGGGGGGGCCGCGGGGAACATGGTGCCTGGAGCTGGGACCGCCAGCAGTGAGGGCGAGCGAGAGAGCCGCCGCCAACCTCCTTCTCCCCGCCTCCCAGAACTGGCTCCCCCGCTTCCTGTCCTCCTTCCCTACCCCCGCCCTGGCTGGTCCACGTGGAATGGGGGCTGGGAAGACTGAGCTGGACAGGCGAGGGGCGGGGCGGGGTGCAACAGGAGGAGGGGGTCAGGCTGAGTAAGTTAGAGTCGGAGGGAGGCACCACAAAGAACTGCGAGTCTCCCCTCCCCCCATCTCCAACCCTGGCTTCCAGACCGGGGGCCTGGCCAGGGAGGGAGGCTCGGGAAAGATGGGAAGTCTGAGTGGACACCAAAGGGGAAAAAAAAAGTTCAGTGTCTTTTTCCGGAGCCCCCGGGTCCTAAAGCCGGGCGGAGGCGCGCCCCTTGCTTCTTTCGCGGGCACCTCCATTTCTAGTCCCCTCCAGGTGGGTGGTGAAGCCGCGGAGTGTGAGGCATCTCCGTCCTCGTCCGTCAACCCCAACTGTGCTCCAAGGGACGGCCTCTCCAGGAAAGAGCAGCTTGGCCCCGCAAAGGCTGGACTGCAAAAAAGGACTCTGTGACTTGGGACGTGACGGACACGGAGAAAGAGCGGGTGGCGGTGGCAGCGGAAGGTGTGCAGGTGACAGCAGGTGTGTGCCTCCGACGTGGGCGGGGAGACACTCAGAGGGTGCAGGAGGGCGCAGCGACGGCCTGCCCGGCTCCCGGGCTTCCCCGACGCGTGCGCAGCGCCGAGGAGGCGGCCCAGGCCCTCGCTCAGGGTCCCGATCCCAGGAGCGGGCACTGTGTTTGCGGGGGGAGGGGCTTCCTGGGCTCCCCATCTCACTCTCCGCCTAGGGGCACCCCCAAGGCAGGAGCCGGGGCCGACTGAGAGGACTCGGGACACTCTCGGACCCTGTGGAAAAAGAGGGGAGACGTCGTGACCCAGGCCCCGCCCCGCCGCCCTCGTGCCCGGCGCTAAGACCCAGCGGGCGCGCCGCGGGCCCCGGCCCCTTCCGTCCGCCGGGCGGCCAGCTCAGCTCGGGAGAGCCGGCGGCGCGGCGGGCATGGCTCGGGCGGCGTGGGGGCTGCTGTGGCTGCTGCTGGGCAGCGTCGGGGCGCAGTACGAGAAGTACAGCTTCCGGGGCTTCCCGCCCGAGGACCTGATGCCGCTGGCCGCCGCCTACGGGCACGCGCTGGAGCAGTACGAGGGCGAGAGCTGGCGCGAGAGCGCGCGCTACCTGGAGGCGGCGCTGCGGCTGCACCGGCTGCTGCGCGACAGCGAGGCCTTCTGCCACGCCAACTGCAGCGGGCCCGCGCCCGCGCCCGCGCCCGGCCCCGACGGCGGCCGCGCGGACGACTGGGCCCGCGAGCTGCGGCTCTTCGGCCGCGTCCTGGAGCGCGCCGCCTGCCTGCGGCGCTGCAAGCGGACGCTGCCCGCCTTCCAGGTGCCCTACCCGCCGCGGCAGCTGCTGCGCGACTTCCAGAGCCGCCTGCCCTACCAGTACCTGCACTACGCGCTGTTCAAGGTGGGCGTCCGCCCCCGCCCGGGGGCGCGTCTCAGGCTGGGCCTCGGGTCTCCCCGCCGATCGGTCGGAGGAGCGTTGCCTTCATCCGGGGCACGAAGCCCGCTGTGCGCTCCAGGCCGCGAACTCCGGCCCCACTGACCCGCTCCCTCACCCCCTACCCCCCGACCAGGCTAACCGGCTGGAGAAGGCGGTGGCGGCGGCCTACACCTTCCTCCAGAGGAACCCGAAGCACGAGCTGACCGCCAAGTATCTCAGCTATTACCGGGGGATGCTCGACGTCGCCGACGAGTCCCTCACGGACCTAGAGGCCCAGCCCTACGAGGTGGGGTGGAGGGCAGGAGGAGGATCCTGCAGATAGGGCTTGTAGAGGAGGGGGGATGTTGGGGGCGTCCTGACTCCCTCTGCCACGCCCCTTCCAGGCCGTGTTCCTCCGGGCTGTGAAGCTCTACAACAGCGGGGATTTCCGCAGCAGCACGGAAGACATGGAGCGGGCCCTGGCAGAGTACCTGGTGGTCTTTGCCCGGTGTCTGGCCGGCTGTGAAGGGGCCCACGAGCAGGTGGACTTCAAGGACTTCTACCCGGCCATAGCAGGTATCCCCCACCCAGACTATGGTGGGCGGTCCGGTCACCCACAGGCCCGGTAAGGCAGATGTCCCCTCCCTGCACATGGAGCACTGCAAATGCGGAGGAAGGCTTTGTCCCAGCCCTCAGGCAGCCTTCGGTCTGCTGAGAAAGACGCTGGGTACAGGGGCCCCAGCTGGGAGTGTCGAAGGCGCTGGATCAGTGTGGAGAGGCAGTGATATCCCTAAAAGGTCTGGGAAGCTTGGGTTCACAGGCCTTCCAGACAGAGGGCGGTGCAGGTGCAAAGCTGCCTCGGTGAGAAGTAGCCCGGCAGGTGTGTGCAGAAAGCAGCTGGTAACCAGAAATCACACCTAGTCTTGGGATCTCTAACCCCGGGGTCTCTCGAACACGGGCAGAAAGGACTGTCCTTGGTCAGGTGCAGTGGCTCAGGCCTGTAATTCCAGCACTTTGGGAGGCCGACGCAGGCGGATCACAAGGTCAGGAATTCGAGACCAGCCTGACTAACATGGTGAAACCCCGTTTCTACTAAAAATACGGAAATTAGCTAGGCAGGGTAGCTGTAATCCCAGCTAGGAAGCTGAGGCAGGAGAATTGCTTGAGCCTGGGAGGTGTAGGTTTCGGTGAGCAGAGATCACACCACTGTATGCCAGCCTGGGTGACAGAGCAAGACTTCATCTCAAAAAAAAAAAAAAAAAAAGGGCTGTTCTTTAGCTTCTCTGTTTGGACTTCTGCCCCACTTCTGGACCTCACCTCTGTCTCCCAGAATGCCCTGGCTCCCTCAGGCTTGGGGTTGTGGTGGCGTGGTGGGGGTGGTGAGACAGCTCAGCCCACAGTCGTCTTCCACACCATCATTTGTTGTATAGTGTGGCAAGCACTTTACACACATTCTCCCCTGTGATTGCAACAGCAGCACCTTTTCTGGACCAGCAGCCTGGCTCAGTAGGCAGAGCTTGGATTTGGAAACTTCTCCACTGTGGGGAGGGAGCTGTTCATAGCAACGCCAGCCTCTCACTGCTCCTTCCCACCCCCAGATCTCTTTGCAGAGTCCCTGCAGTGCAAGGTGGACTGTGAGGCCAATTTGACCCCCAATGTGGGCGGCTACTTCGTGGACAAGTTCGTGGCCACCATGTACCACTACCTGCAGTTTGCCTACTACAAGTGTGAGCCCCCTGGGTGGGCTTGGGCAGGGGGAGAGGTGATAAGGGAGAGGACTGCATGGGTGCCTCCCAGAATTGTGGGGAGCTTTCCTTCAGTATTGAGGATCCTGGATGACAGGAGAAAAGGCTAGGGATGGTGGGGATGTGGGGAAGTTACTCTGAGAGTCTGGGGCAGGTGAGAGGCTTGTGAGTGGGAACAGACAGCAGCCTCAGGGAGAAGTAGAGGGTCTGTCTCTTGGGCAAATGACTAGGCAACCAACAACTGCAGAGCACTTGACAGTTTATTTTTATTTTTGAAACGGAGTTTCACTCTGTTGTCCAGGCTGGAGTGCAGTGGCACGATCTCGCTCACTGCAACCTCCGCCTCCAGGGCTCAAGTGATAATCCTGCCTCAGCCTCCCGAGTAGCTGGGATTACAGGCACCCGCCACCATGCTCAGCTAATTTTTGTATTTTTAGTAGAGACGAGGTTTCACCATGTTGTCCAGGCTGGTCTTGAACTCCTGACCTCAGGTGATCCACTACCTCAGCCTCCCAAAGTGCTGGGATTATAGGTGTGAACCACTGTGCCCCGCCAACACTTGAGAGTTTACAAGGCACTTAGGTGGTCCTTTCAGCAAAACCATGCAGCTGGCATTGCTGGACCAATTTTTCAGATGGGGAAACTGAGGCTCATAGAGGGCAAGGGGCTATTAGTCTCATGACTAATAAAAAGTGGCACCAGGACTTGTGGCTCTCCTCACTGGAGAGATTCCGACATCCACCAGGGCTGAGATGGACAGCCTGCAGTGTTTCTGTAACTCAGAGATGCCAAGATTCAGACAGAGCCGGGAATCTGAGCAGAGGGGCTGAGAACCAAGGGGCCGGGAGACCCTTCCCAGGAGCAGATACCAGAGAGGTTGAGGGCTTCTAATTCCCTAGAGCCATCATTCTCCAGCTGTGTGAGCTTGAGCAATTTAGCTAACCTCTCTGTGACTCAGATTTCTTGGCTGTAAAATGCGGATGACAGTAAAAGGCAGGCTGGGCGCGGTAATCCACGCCTGCCATCCCAGCATTTTGAGAGGCCCAGGCGGACAGATGGCTTGAGCCCAGGAGTTCGAGACCAACTTGGGCAACATGGCAAGACCCTGTCTCTATAAAGATACGACAAATTAGCCAGGAGTGGTGGCACATGCCTGTAGTCCCAGCTACTGGGGAGGCTGAGGTGGGAGTATTGCTTGAGCCCAGGAGGCGGAGGCCATAGTGTGCCGAGATCACACCACTGCACTCCAGCCTGGGTGACAGAACAAGACCCTGTCTCAAAACAAACAAAAACATACAAAACATTAGATGGGTGTGGTGGTACGTGTGCCTGTAGTCCTAGCTACTCGGGAGGCTGAGGTGAGAGGATCACCTAAGCCGGGGAGATCAAGGCTGAGGTGACCCATGATGGCACTACTGTACTCCAGCCAGGGTGATAGAGTGACATCCTGTCTCTAAAAATAAAAAGACAGGCCAGGTTTGGTGGCTCACACTTGTAATCCCAGGACTTTGGGAGGCTGAGGTGGGTGGATCACAAGGTCAAGAGTTCAAGACCAGCTTGGCCAAGATGGTGAAACCCTGTCTCTACTAAAAATATAAAAATTTAATCCCAGCACTTTGGGAGGCCGAGGCGGGTGGATCACGAGGTCGAGAGATCGAGACCATCCTGGTCAACATGGTGAAACCCCGTCTCTACTAAAAATATAAAAAATTAGCTGGGCATGGTGGCACGTGCCTGTAATCCCAGCTACTTAGGAGGCTGAGGCAGGAGAATTGCCTGAACCCAGGAGGCGGAGGTTGCGGTGAGCCGAGATCGCGCCATTGCACTCCAGCCTGGGTAACAAGAGCGAAACTCCGTCTCAAAAAAAAAAAAATATATATATATATATATATATATATAAATTAGCTGGGCGTGTTGGCAGGCGCCTGTAATCCCAGATACTCAGGAGCCTGAGGCAGAGAACCGCTTGAACCTGGGAGGCAGAAGCAGTGAGCCAAGATCACACCACTACACTCCAGCCTGGGCAACAGAGTGAGACTCTGTCTCAAAAATAAATAAATAAATAAATAAAAATAAAAAGACAATGACAGTGAGGCTTAAATGAGTTAGGGCCTGGCGCAGGTCAGTGCCCACTACATGCTAGCTGGCATTATGCTTGGGTGGGGTAAGGAGCCCAGTAGCTATTCTGGGAGGTGTCTGGGTGGCAGGGGCGCTGGACTGAACTGGGAGCTGGGGTTGACTCTGAAGTGCCAGAGCGACTCCTCACCCCTGTGCTGCTGCAGTGAATGATGTGCGCCAGGCTGCCCGCAGCGCCGCCAGCTACATGCTCTTCGACCCCAAGGACAGCGTCATGCAGCAGAACCTGGTGTATTACCGCTTCCACCGGGCTCGCTGGGGCCTGGAAGAGGAGGACTTCCAGCCCCGGGAGGTGGGCACTGCTTTCTGGGGCACTTGCTGGACATGCAGTTTGCAAAACAAAAACAAAAAAAAAACAACACCTGGCTTCCTTGGAAGGCAGGATGGAAAATGGAAAGAAAGAATATGAGTTGAGGTTCGAGCCCAGCCCCACTGCCGTGTGGTCCTGGGAAGACTATAGCCCTATCCAAATCTATTGTCTCACCTGCAAAATGCAGGTAGTACTGCCTCCCTCAGCAGTGTCCAGATGGGGGAGGTGCGAAGGTACATGTCCACTCCTGCCTGCTCCCCTCCCCACCTTCATCACCCTCACTGCTGGCCTTTGTCCCTCTTCCCCAGGAACCCACTAGGTAACCAACTGAGAAAACCCCTTGGAGTTGAGGGCAAGGCTGGCAAATACGGGACACATGGTGCCACTCCTGCTTTCTTGTCAGTGGCAGACATTGCTAATCGATTGAGGGATTCTTTCTTACCAGACCCTCAGAATCCTTAACCCAGTGCTCCAGGCAGTCACGATGATCTGATTAGCTTGTGAGCTGATACCTGATCCTTGAGCTGGAAGAGGGCCAGTGGGCCCAGATCCTAGGAGCTCTGGCTTCTTGCCATCTGGCAGCAGGGTATGGCTCACCCCCCACCCATCCTTCCCTCCTTCCAGGAGGCCATGCTCTACCACAACCAGACTGCCGAGCTGCGGGAGCTGCTGGAGTTCACCCACATGTACCTGCAGTCAGATGACGAGGTGAGTGCCTCCTGATTTCCAGGACTGGGCTGTGATGGGGACACCTTGCGCCTTTTCCTGGGGCCAACAGTGTGCAAGAGTTGAGCCCCAGCCCCTGGTGGTCAACCTTTGTGAAGCAGAGAGGTTTGTCTGGATCGCCCCTTCCCCAGCCTGAGCATTCTCATGCCCCCTGCTGTACATGTCCTAATCCTGCTCTTCCCAGGTGCAGCTCACATGGTGCCTCCTCCAGGAAGCCCTTGCTGCATGCCTTGGCTCACTGTTCTGGGATAGCAGTGCTTCTGTGTACTTCCCTGGCCACCTGTGGCCTGGACCTGGATGATTTGCAGTCCTGGTCCTTCTCAGGCCTGGCCCCCTTCTCCAGCCAGTCTCCAGGAGGACTGCACTGCAGGACACGGGGCCAGGGTATTCCCTGCTCTCCCAGCTCTCCCATGTCCTACATGGAGCCTGGGCTGAGAAACAGTTTGAATGAACCAGTGAATGAATGAATGAATGAATGAATGCAGGGCATCAGGACCAGAGGACCATAGGGTATTACACTGATTTCGAGTGAGGGTTTGACAGCCTTGAGTTTTTCTGAGGTGTTGCTGCTCAGTGCTTATTTATGTATCCTATCCTTTGTTCATGCCCCCACCCGTCAAACATAGGGGCGAGGGGCAGAATCTACACTGTCAGCACCCAGGATGAGGAGCTAGCCAGACCTGGCTCCACTACTTACCGTTGGGTGGCCTCCAGACAAGCGTCAGGCAACCTCTCAAGCTTCTGTTTCTTCATCCATTGAATGGGGAGAATCATGCCCATCTCATATTGTGATGGTGAGAATAATATGAGATCTGGCTGGGCGTGGTGGCTCATGCATGTAATTCCAGCAATTTGGTAGGCCAAGGCAGAGGGATCACCTGAGATCAGGAGTTCAACACCCGCCTGGCCAACATAGTGAAATCCTGTCTCTACTAAAAATACAAAAATTATCCAAGCAGTCGTGGGCACATGTAATCCCAGCTACTCGGGAGGCTGAGGCAGGAGAATTGCTTGAATTCCAGAGGCAGAGGTTGCAGTGAGCTGAGCTGACACCACTGCACTTCAGCCTGGGCGACAGATTGAGACTCTGTCTAAAAAAAAATAATAATAATAATAGTCCGGGTGCGGTGGCTCAAGCCTGTAATCCCAGCACTTTGGGAGGCCGAGGCGGGTGGATCACGAGGTCAAAAGATCGAGACCATCCTGGTAAACATGGTGAAACCCCGTCTCTACTAAAAATACAAAAAATTAGCTGGGCATGGTGGCACGTGCCTGTAATCCCAGCTACTCAGGAGGCTGAGGCGGGAGAATTGCCTGAACCCAGGAGGCGGAGGTTGCGGTGAGCTGAGATCGCGCCATTGCACTCCAGCCTGGGTAACAAGAACGAAACTCCGTCTCAAAAAAAAAAAAAAATAATAATAATAATAGTAAGATCAAGTATGTATTTTTATTTTTAGTGGAGACGGAATCTTGCTCTGTCAGGCTAGAGTACCGTGGTGCGATCTCGGCTCACTGGAATCTCCACCTCTTGGGTTCAAGAGATCCTCTGGTCTCAGCCTTTGAATAGCTGGGATTACAGGCACGTGCCACCACACCCAGCCAATTTTATTTTGTATTTGTAGTAGAGACAGGATTTCACCGTTTTGGCCAGGCTGGTCTCAAACTGCTGACCTCAAGTGATCTGCCCACCTCGGCCTCCCAGAGTGCTGCAATTACAGGAGTGAGCCACCGTGCCTGGCTGAGAATCAAGTAATGTAAAGCACTTGATAAAGAGCCAGCACCTAGTAGGTGCACAGTGAATGGCAGCGCTGTTTTTGTTTGTTTGTTTGTTTTTTGTTTTTTGTTTTTTTTTGAGACGGAGTTTTGCTCTTGTTACCCAGGCTGGAGTGCAATGGCGCCATCTCGGCTCACCGCAACCTCCGCCTCCTGGGTTCAGGCAATTCTCCTGCCTCAGCCTCCTGAGTAGCTGGGATTACAGGCACGCACCACCACGCCCAGCTAATTTTTTGCATTTTTAGTAGAGACGGGGTTTCATCATGTTGACCACATTGGTCTCGATCTCTTGACCTCGTGATCCACCCGCCTCGGCCTCCCAAAGTGCTGGGATTACAGGCTTGAGCCACCGCGCCCGGCTTTTTTTTTTTTTTTTTTTGAGACAGAGTCTTACTCTGTCACCCAGGCTGGAGTGCAGTGGCGCCATCTCATCTCACTGCAACCTCCACCTCTTGGGTTCAAGCAATTCTCCTGCCTCAGCCTCCCGAGTAGCTGAGACTACAGGCATGTGCCACCATACCCAGCTAATTTTTGTATTTTTAGTAGAGATACGGAGTTTCACCATGTTGGCCAGGCTGGTCTTGAACTCCTGACCTCAAGTGATCCATCTGCCTCGGCCTCCCAAAGTGCTGGGATTACAGGTGTGAGCCCCTGTGCCTGGCCTATGGCAGCTGCTTTGAGGGCTGTTGCTTGTTCCGTGTGGTTTGTCAGACACCAGACTGGGGGCTGGAATAAGTGAGTGAAAGTCATGGTCCCTTTCCCAAGCTCACAGTCTAGTGGGGGAGGTAGAAACTGCTGCTGGAGAGGGCAGCACGCGGCACCAGAGGAGGTCTCCAGCCCAGCCAGGGTCACCAGCAAGGGCTCAGCCTGGAACCGACGCCTGGCTTTGGAGGGATCAGCGCGGGCTGCGCAGGCACAGGGGACAGCAGGAGTTCCTGGCAGGGAAAAAGCATGAGCAAACATTATGCAGGAACTAGCAAGATTCTTGCCAGGGTATTTGTGCTTAAAAGGTGGGGCTGTGCCAGGGTGATGTTTATGCTGACACCAGATTCTACCGGTGGCGCCCTATGCAGCCACTCAACGAGGGGCAGTTTGGGAGACGTCCTCAGAATGGTCTCATTAGATCTTGAGACTGGGGAAGGGGAGGGCCTTTGGGGACCAAGAAGTGGGATGGGAGGTCCCCTTGGCCAGGAAGGGAGCCCATATGGGTTTGGGCCTACTGTGACCCAGTTTCTCCCACAACCGTGGCACTGCTCTAGATGGAACTGGAGGAGACAGAACCACCCCTCGAGCCGGAGGAAACCCCATCTGACACCGAGTTTGAGGGGGAGGGTGACTACGAGGAGAGCATCTATGCTGACTGGTGGCAGGAGCCGGATGCCAAGGGTGACGAGGCTGAGGCTGGTTAGTGACAAGTCCTTGGGGGATGGGGATGCAGCCTGGGAGGGAAGCTGGGAACAGACAGATTCACCTGCTGGGCTCCGGAACTCATGGTGTGTGGGTGCTGGAGCCCATCCTCCAGGGGCCTGCAGCCTGTTGGCTGCCCCTGTCCCACTTGGGAGTGGAGGTGCAGCACCCACCCCGGAGCTGGGGGCAGCTGAGACCTGTTCCTGGGGAGCCTCACCCCCTTCCCATCAGGATGGCACCTGGATACCCACTGGGAGGGAGTGGGGGCCAACCCCAGTGCTTTCTCCTTTCCTTTTCAGAGCCAGAGCCTGAACTGGCATGAGAAGGGTGCACCCCACACCCCTCGAGCTTGGGAAGCCTGGGCCCGATGGCCCCACCCTCACCAGCCTGAGCAGCAGCAAGAACTTTTTTTTTTTCCTGAACATCTTTCTTAAATTAATAGCAAGAACTATTTATTAAAAACTTAAGATGGGGCCGGGCACGGTGGCTCACACCTGTAATCCCAGCACTTTGGGAGGTCAAGGCAGGTGGATCATGAGGTCAGGAGTTCAAGACCAACTTCGCCAAGATGGTGAAACCCCATCTCTACTAAAAATATAAAAAATTAGCCAGGTGTGGTGGTAGGTGCCTGTAATCCCAGCTACTCAGGAGGCTGAGACAGAGAATTGCTTAAACCCAGGAGGCAGAGGTTGCAGTAAGCTGAGACCATGCCACTGCACTCCAGCCTGGGCAACAGAGGGAGACCCCATCTCAAAACAAACAAGATGGACCAGACACGGTAGCTCACATCTGTAATCCCAGCACTTTGGGAGACCAAGGTGGGTGGATCACTTGAGGCCAGGAGTTCGAGAGCCTGGCCAACATGGTGAGATGCCCCTTCTCTACTAAAATACAAAAATTAGCCAGGCATGGTGGCAGATGCCTGTAATCGCCGCTACTCAGGAAGCTGAGGCCAGAGAATTGCTTAAACCTGGGAGGCAAAGGTTGCAATGAGGTGAGATTGTGCCACTGCACTCCAGCCTGGGCAACAGAGCAAGACTCTGTCTAAAAAAAAAGAAAAAAAAAAAAGGGCCAGGCACGGTGGCTCAAGCCTGTAATCCCAGCACTTTGGGAGGCCCAGGTGGGTGGATCACGAGGTCAAGAGATCGAGACCATCCTGGTCAACATGGTGAAACCCCGTCTCTATTAAAAATACAAAAAATTAGCTGGGCATGGTGGCGCGTGCCTGTAATCCCAGCTACTCAGGAGGCTGAGGCAGGAGAATTGCCTGAGCCCAGGAGACGGAGGTTGCGGTGAGCCGAGATCGCGCCATTGCACTCCAGCCTGGGTAACAAGAGCGAAACTCTGTCTCAAAAAAAAAAAAAAAAAAAGATGGACACGGCTGACCGGACCCCTGTCCTGCCCCACCCATGAGCACTGCGCCCCAGACCCATCCTGCCTCTTCTGTGTCTCTGGACCACAGGATGGTGGTGGCATTGCAGGTTGGCAAGTGGGCTGACGGGGTCTGCCCTCTTCACCGCTGAGCCCCTCACCTGGACAGTCTTCTGGACAAGAAGGTTCCAGCTGCTGACTGGAGTCACAGACCGAATTGCAGAGGGTCCTCCAGGGTCCTGAAGAGCACTGGACTAGGAGTCTAGTGGTTCAATAAATGTTTATTGACCAGTAGGTGCTCAATAAGTGTTGTTGAATGAGTCGTAGCACCTGTGGTCCAGTCTCTGCGGAGCTCAGTTGTGACAGTACAAGTCCTTCCCTCCCTCTCCACCTGTGCCCCCTCATCTGTAAAATGTGGGGTGAGGGGCACCATCTAGGCCCTGCCTGGTCCTCTGCACTTGGGTCTGAGGCTTGTGAGGGAGGACGCAGTGTGCAGACTCGCCACCAGGGGGCCTGAGAGGACACTGCAGACCCGCCGCCAGGGGTCAGGAAAACACAGTCCTCCCCAGGCTTGGGAAGACGGTGGTTTCCGATTTCTAAGATTCGAAGTCCTGTATTTTCCTAGTTCAGGATTAACTTCCCTTGGGGAATGTGGCAAGTGTGGGAGGGGGCCAAGGACATTTGCTCCTGGTGTTTACTTTGTGGGCATTTACTGACGCAGGTTCCTTACAGAGGGAGGTGGCCCTCCCGCTGCCCTGTCTATTCCCCCATTCCAGAGGCGGGTTGAGGCCCCAGCTTCACGGCCAGAGGAGCCCCAGGCATGTGATTTGATTACTTTGGGCTTCTTGGAGTGCACTGGGATAACCAGGCCCCTCTTGACCGATTTTACATGGGTTCCAGGGGCAGAGGGTCTGGAAGTGTGCGGGCAATGAGGGTGTCTGGTGGCTACCTCCTAGCCTGGGACCCACTGCCAGAGACCTACCCCTATTCCACAGCAGGTAGGTGGGGCAAAGGGGGTCTCTGCGAGGAACCCAGGGCCAAGGCCAGCCGGATGACAGTTCTGTCCCACATTTCTAGCTTCCCGGGGGCAGGGTAGCAGAGGTATCTTCCTACTCGAAGGTGGAGTCAGGGCTGGGAAGGCAGGTTCTCACTGCCCCACCCCTACCTTCTCTCCAGACGTGCCAGGCGAACTGGCCCAGGCCCTGTCCACCTCTGCGCCCAGGAGGACTCCCTGTCCCACCCCAAACCCCTCCACTAGGCCTTTGGTCAGGATGGGAGCTGTAAGGGCAGAGTCTGAGTCTGGAAAAAGGGCTGGGTCAAGGCTGGGGGCTCGGTGACCTCACTCCCTCCTCCCATAGGTGGGTCCCAGGGAAACACATCTGCAGTGGTAGCCTTTCCTGACAGCCTCTGGGTGCAGAGTGGCCCTGCCCCACCCCACCTCTTTCAAGCTGCTGTGTTGTCAGGTCCAAGGCCCAGCCCGTTTCTGGGAGGGGCTGGCCCTTCAGAGGGTGGGGAGCGGGATGTGCTTCTGCATGTCTGCGCAGACGTGAACCTGCCATGAGCACGAGCCTTGGAATCTGGACGGCTGGGTGTGGGTATAAAAGTGCCCGCATGCTTGTGTTGCGTGGATGTGCGGGTCTGGGTGTGAATGTGTGCCTGCGGGTATGCATGAATGAGGGTGTTTTTGTTTGTTTTGTTTTTTGAGATGGAGTCTTTTTTTTTTTGACGGAGTTTCGCTCTTTTTACCCAGGCTGGAGTGCAATGGCGCGATCTCAGCTCACCGCAACCTCTGCCTCCTGGGTTCAGGCAATTCTCCTGCCTCAGCCTCCTGAGTAGCTGGGATTACAGGCACACGCCACCATGCCCAGCTAATTTTTTGTATTTTTAGTAGAGACGGGGTTTCACCATGTTGACCAGGATGGTCTCGATCTCTTGACCTCGTGATCCACCCACCTGGGCCTCCCAAAGTGCTGGGATTACCGGCGTGAGCCACCACGCCCGGCGAGATGGAGTCTTGCTCTGTCATCCAGGCTGAAGTACAGTGGCTCAATGCAACCTCTACCTCCAGGGTTCAATCGATTCTCCTGCTTCAGTCCCCCAAGTAGCTGGGATTACAGGCACCTGCCACCACACCTAGCTAATTTTTGTATTTTTGGTAGAGACAATGTTTTGCTATGTTGGCCAGGCTGATCTCAAATTCCTGACTTCAGGTGATCCAGCTGCCTCGGCCTCCCAAAGTGTTGGGAATAAATGTGTTTTTAGAGGGATTCATTCACTCAGTCAGCACATAGAGTACCTACTATGTGCCAGCATCTTGAGGCACTGGGCATAGAAGAGTGAACAGAGTAGGCCAAATGCCGGGCCCACATGGGCTTACGTTCCGGCGGGGAGGGGGGCTGTAAACAATAAACGTCAGAATGTATGAATGAGACGAGTATGGCAAATGAGGAGGTGGGAAAGGATCTGACAGCCGAGGGGTTGCAGTTGAGGTGTGTGGGTAGCCGTGCAAGTGCGCGTCTGAGCGTGGCGTCTGAGTGTGGGGTGAAGCAGCGTGTGTGTGAGGGAGCAGCCCCGCCCCTCTCTGGGCACCACTCAGCCCTTCAGCTCAGGACACAGGCCCAGCCTTGCCTTACTCAGCTCCCCTTTCCCAGGGAGCCGCCAGCCCCTCCTACCTCCCCAGATGCCAGCGTCTCCCCAGAGCCCAGTCAGCTCCCCAGACCGGTGAGACTTACTCCGAGCCAGTCCCAATGTGGGCCCTCTGGGGCCCTCCAGCCCATTGTCCCAACTCCACCCATCCAGACAGCTTCACCTCCGCCACACCTCCGACCCTGATGGCCACCTCCCCACCTGCCCCCACACCCCACCCAGCACCTCACCAGTCCTAGAATCGCGGTATAATGGGTAGGTTAGGGATGACCAAAAGGGCTCTGGGGAGGCTGGCCTCATGCAGTAGGACCAGACTTGGAGAGATGCCGCAGGAAGACTCCATCCTAAGGAAATCAGAGCTGCCACCTGTCCTGAGGGCCTACTGTGTGCCAGGCACTTGGCAGCTTATCATTTTTGACACAGTGTCTTGCTCTGTCACCCAGCCTGGAGTGCAGTCACAATCACGGTTCACTGCAGCCTCCGCCTTCCAGGCTCAAGCCATCCTCCCACCTCAGCCTCCCGAGTGGCGGTGAGCACAGGCACATACCAGCATACTCAGCTAATTTCTTTTTTTTTTTTTTTTTTTTTGAGACAGAGTCTCGCTCTGTTGCAAGGCTGGAGTGCACTGGCGCTATCTTGGCTCACTGCAACCTCTGCCTCCCCCTCCCAGGTTTAAGCAATTCTCCTGCCTCAGCCTTCCCAGTAGCTGGGACCACAGGCGTGTACCGCCACACCCAGCTAATTTTTTGTATTTTTAGTAGAGACAGGGTTTCACCGTTTGGCCAGGATGGTCTCCATTTCTTGACCTCATGATCCACCTGCTTCGGCCTCCCAAAGTGCTGGCATTACAGGCATGAGCCATCACACCCAGCCCAATTTTTTTGTTTTTTGATAGGGTCTTGCTGTGTTGCCTAAGCTGGTCTCAAACTCCTGGGCTCAAGTGATCCTCATGCCTTGGCCTCCCAAAGTGCTGGGGTTATAGGCATGAGCCACCATGCCAGGCATCTTGAGAAATTATTGATAACCCTTAAAATAGTCCTGAGATGTAGATGTCAGTTCCCCTCCACTCCAGGTGGGGCTGAGGAATAAGAGGCAATTTGTCCAGGATTCCTTGAGGTGGTGGGTGACTGAGCTGGGTTTGAACCTTTTCTCGCTAAATCAGTGCTGCTCAGAGAAGGGGGAGAATGCCCTGGTCACAGGGGTTGGCCTGTTTTTTTTTGAGACTGAGTCTTGCTCTGTCGTCAGACTGGAGTGCAGTGGCCAGATCTTGGCTCACTGCAGCCTCCACCTCCCAGGTTCAAGTGATTCTCCTGCCTCAGCCTCCCAAGTAGCTGGGATTATAGGCACACAGCACTACGCCCAGAGAATTTTTCTATTTTTAGTAGAGATGGGGTTTCACCATGTTGGCCAGGTTGGTCTCAATCTCCTGACCTCATGAGCCACACCCCTTGGCCTCCCAAAATGCTGAGATTACAGGCGTGA